CATGTTCGATTTTTCCGTATTTCCAATGGGTTTCAGAATGGGAACCCAAAAACTGCACTTCTAGATTCCATAACTCGGGGAATTTTATTCCGATTTTGAAGTGTGATACCTCTATGAGCTTGTAGTTGAATTATCTAATAGTCTACATTTAAATATGTCTATTAAACGAGGGTCACAATTTTGACCCATTTTCGATTTTTTCAGTATTTCCAATGGGTTTCAGAAATGAAACCTAAACTGATCTTCTAGATTCCATAACTTGAGTAATTTTATTCCGATTTTGAAGTTTGATACCTCTATGAGTTTGTGGATGAATTCTCCAATCATCTACATTTAAATATATCTGTTGGGCGAGGGTTACAATTTTGATCCATTTTCATGTTCGATTTTTCCGTATTTCCAATGGTTTTCAGGATGGGAACCCAAAACTGAACTTCTAGATTCCATAACTTGAGTAATTTTATTCCGATCTTGAAGTTTGATACCTCTATGAGTTTGTGGATGAATTCTCTAATCATCTACATTCAAATATATCTGTTGGGCGAGGGTCACAATTTTGACCCATTTTCATGTTCGATTTTTCCGTATTTCCAATGGGTTTCAGAATGGGAACCCAAAAACTGCACTTCTAGATTCCATAACTCGGGTAATTTTATTCCGATTTTGAAGTGTGATACCTCTATGAGTTTGTAGTTGAATTATCTAATAGTCTACATTTAAATATGTCTATTAAACGAGGGTCTCAATTTTGACCCATTTTCATGTTCGATTTTTCCGTATTTCCAATGGGTTTCAGAAATGAAACCCAAAACTGAACTTCTAGATTCCATAACTTGAGTAATTTTATTCCGATTTTGAAGTTTGATACCTCTATGAGTTTGTGGATGAATTCTCTAATCATCTACATTCAAATATATCTCTTAGGCGAGGGTCACAATTTTGACCCATTTTCATGTTCGATTTTTCCGTATTTCCAATGGTTTTCAGGATGGGAACCCAAAACTGAACTTCTAAATTCCACAACTCAGGTAATTGTATTCCGATTTTAAAGTGTGATACCTTTATGAGCTTGTAGTTTAATTATCTAATAGTCTACATTTAAATATGTCTATAAAACGAGGGTCACAGTTTTGACCCATTTTCATGTTCGATTTTTTCAGTATTTCCAATGGGTTTCAGAAATGAAACCCAAAACTGATCTTCTAGATTCCATAACTTGAGTAATTTTATTCCGATTTTGAAGTTTGATACCTCTATGAGTTTGTGGATGAATTCTCCAATCATCTACATTTAAATATATCTGTTGGGCGAGGGTTACAATTTTGATCCATTTTCATGTTCGATTTTTCCGTATTTCCAATGGTTTTCAGGATGGGAACCCAAAACTGAACTTCTAGATTCCATAACTTGAGTAATTTTATTCCGATCTTGAAGTTTGATACCTCTATGAGTTTGTGGATGAATTCTCCAATCATCTACATTTAAATATATCTGTTGGGCGAGGGTTACAATTTTGATCCATTTTCATGTTCGATTTTTCCGTGTTTCCAATGGTTTTCAGGATGGGAACCCAAAACTGAACTTCTAGATTCCATAACTTGAGTAATTTTATTCCGATCTTGAAGCTTGATACCTCTCACAGTTTTGACCCATTTTCATGTTCGATTTTTTCAGTATTTCTTATGGGCTTCAGAAATGAAAGCCAAAACTGAACATCTAGATTCCATAACTTGAGTAATTTTATTCCGATTTTGAAGTTTGATACCTCTATGAGTTTGTGGATGAATTCTCTAGTCATCTACATTCAAATATATGTGTTAGGCGAGGGTCGCAATTTTGACCCATTTTAATGTTCGATTTTTCAGTATTTCCAGTGGGTTAAAAAAATGCACTTCTAGATTTCATAACTCGGGTAATTTGTTTCCGATTTTGAAGGGAGATACCTCTTTGAGTTTGTGTCTCTTATCATTCAATTGTTATTGTAAAAAGTATTTCCATTTATTTTTCATAAAATATTAAATACGTTATTAGCCTTTACTTTTCACGCTGATTTTTAATTAAGCCACAAACCTGTACTCCACGCTACGTACTCGCAATGTCGCCATGGGACAAGGACTTTCCTTTTTCATCCTTCATTTCCCCGAGTATCCTTTCTCGTTCCGTTCAGTTCATAAAATTTTATGCGTGACTCATGATTTTTGTCTTTCGCTCTTTTTTGTTGACTTGTTTACATGCATTCATGACAAATAATGATGAGTCGCTGCCTTTTATGAATATGAATGCTATGTGGGTGGTGGTAAGACGAAGAGGCCTCTCAAGGGGCCGTAGATGGGCCATAAAAACCTAAACGTCTGCGTCGGAGGCGTTAAATTGGTAAGAATTTTGTTTTTATATGACCGGATCGTGTTATGACAACGCTTACATGCTGTTATCTCACAGAATTGGGAGTGGGGTTTTTGGGAAAAGCTGATGTTTACCCTAAGTGGATGAATTGCTGTAGGTGTCTAATATAAGGGGTGAAAAGTAATACAAAACTCCAGGAAACTTATACAAATAATTGGTCATACATTTTACGATATATTTATGCTATGTTATGTTATTGAAAACCCATTTTTGTATAAATCATATAAATAACCCAATTCTGGCTAGACATTAATTATTTATTTAAAAACAAACATAAATAACTGTACAACTTTAACTAATACTGCGTATAAATCATCGAATAAATAGTTTTTAGCAATAAAACAAAATATTTATTTAAAGCCCAACAAAGTTTTCGGTTCACTGAACTCAAAACCGAAAGCCAAACTAACAGTTAAGTGCATTTACCCCCATTCTCCTATGAAAAAAAATAAATAAAAACTCAGTCCGCTTCAGTTGAGTTTAGTTGCGTTTTCCCCTAACTACCCATAACATTTGATTATGTTTTCATAAAAACTAGTAAAACATTTTTCCGGCTTTTCCATACCCATTTATTTTGCATAAGCTCTTTTTGAAATTTCTCCCGAACTGTAAATATTTTAAAGTTACCAATTTTCGCAATGAAAATTTCTCTACATCCAGTTGCCATTTAATGCAACACAATTCCGAAAGGCCAGAACTTTGGCCAAATGTCTAACTGCTGGGCCATGCAACATGGAGTGAAATTCTCGCGGGAAACATAAAATGCATTTTACATAAATGGATGGAATTGCACATTAATGTGAGCCAGCAAAGTTTCATAAACTAAACCTTTTTCAGCCCCCGAAAATGCAAACGAGGGCAGATGGGACTGCCAGAGTTTCGGGAATGGCAATTTGATATACCAGAATGTGTCGAGTACTTTGAAAATGTTTTCGATGCGATTTGTCTCTCCTTAAACTGCAACGCTTTGAGATTTTGATAATTGTTAGTTATGTCTCTAAATATCGTTGCCATTCGAAAGTTCTGTGGAAGTTTTCCCCCCACCTGTCCATTAAGTTCCCTTCGTTGGGCAATTAGCTGGGGAATTCCTACCTGTAAGTTGTTTTAAGTGTTGTTTATGCCCAAAACTTTCACTATTAAATTGCAGCTGCATTCTTGGCACAGATTATGCATACACTAAATGGTACATTTATGAGCTTCTGAATTGTTCTGGGCTTTTGCCAATAAAGGTTACATTGCCTTGAGGGGATTAATTAAAGTAAAATTGAGGTGACTTAACTCAAAACAATCATTAAATAATTATCTTCAAAGTTTTAAATTGTAAAATATTTCAATTTCAAACTTTTCCGTAACTATTTTCTTCATATTTCTAGCAATTTTTGCTTCCAACTTGTTGGGTTTTGCCTGTGGACTACATTTTTTGGCAGCACTTTTCTTTTGGCTCTGATTCAACTAAGTCTGGCTAGGCAAATCTAGGCGAAATTGTTTTTTTATTACCCTGCTTGGCATCGAGATTCAGTTTCCGACGACACCCAGCCAATCGGAATTTAATTTATGAGCATTTAATAAGAAAATCGCCTTGAAAATCATCTAATCGGTCTGACTGTAGGGCAAAGTCTTATCTTGAATTAAATGAAATTCGAGTGACTTGTTGCTTGAATTTGTGGGCTTCTCCACGATTATCCCTGTGGACACGAACTGAAATCCTTGTTTATCCTGGGGAGCTATCAAAGCGTTACAAATCACTTGAAGGAGCGCCTTCGCGCGTGTCTATCGATTGAGGAGCGACAAATGGAACGCATTAAGTTAACATTATTGCCAAACAATTTGCTCGAATTGTGTTCATTTTGTGTCGTTACTGTCATTGCTACTCACATACATAACTTGCCGTGCTTTCTTTTCCTCGATTTGTCCAACAACAAAGCTAAACAACTTATCCTGGTGCTTGTTATATTTACCCCCAGTTGTATATGTCTGTATGTCCTGACTGCCATCTCACACTCCAAGGATAATTCCCTGGCAATTGTGTTTTTATGTGGCCAACCCCAAATCTGATTAGGCGGGCTTCCGAGGTTCTGAGCTCAGGGGCAAGAAAGGCAGTGGCAGTATCAAACTACGATAAATGGCTGAAACTTGTAAGCGAGCAGATATTATTCGTGGCTTTGTCAAGGGGAAATTGCTTTTAGCCTGTTGCTAAAAGTCCTGTCCCATTGAGGGTCTTCCTTCGAAATCCTTTGGCCAGAAGGCTCTACAATCCAATCGTCTTGTTACCTGTCGGGGGAATCGACTGTGTTAAGTGGTAAATTATCTTTTTTCCCTTTTTGGTTTAGTTCGGCTTCGTATCGTTTCCACTTTCGTTTTGTTGCGACAAATTACGGAAAAGGGTTTGCATGTAATTGATACTATAGCTGGTAAAACGCTTAGCACTTGAAAAAGGACTTAAAAAGCCCTTAAAGTGACGGATTGAAAAAATATGTTAAGCGATTCTCAATAACTAAGCATTTGTGCATTTGAACAATTGATTTTGAGGGGTGAAAAGAAACGAAAGTGGGGAAAAGTAGTTTTGCTTTTCTTTCTACTTTATTAATATATATTATTTAATAATCCATATATAGACACCTTTCATTTGGCATAGATGTGCACTGAAGAAGATTGTCATCAAAGACCGTTCCTTCTTCGCAAAATACAGCATATGGAATGGGATAATCACAAACGACATATCGACTGCAATCATTGGGATAGGCAAGCACAGTTCCTAGAGCTCGGCCACAACAAATATTGGGGGTGTACGGATCCAGAGTTGTTGGGGGTGGCACAGATGTTGTTGTCGATTCTGTTGTTGAAACTGTTGTTGATTCGGTGGTAGTTGTCTTCGGAGTTGTTGAAACTGTGGTTGATCCTGTAGTAGTTGTATCGGGAGTTGTTGAAACTGTTGTTGATTCTGAGGAAGTTATCTTTGGAGTTGTTGAAACTGTTGTTGATTCGGTGGTGGTTGAATCTGAAGTTGTTGAAACTGTTGTTGATTCTGTAGAAGTAATACCGCTAGTGTTTGAAACTGTGGTTGATTCCGTAGTCTGTGGTGTTGTTGAGTCTGTAGTAGCTGTTGAAACTGTTGTTAATGGTGTAGTGGTAGTTATAGGCTCCTTAGTGGTCGAAGATTCGGTGATCAAAGTTGTCAGCCCTGGAGTGGTTATTTTCGCACTACAATCGGCTGATTCGGGATCCATGCACAATAATTTCGTGGGACTGAACTCCAAACCATTTGGACAGTCGTAGCCAACGGGTATCGGATATTGACACTTTATAAACTTGCTGCAATTTCTAGGATATGGTACCAAAGAGTCGTCCGTCTTTCCTTCACAGATTCCCCCAGAAGGTTTCGTGGTAGTGGAAGCTTCTGAGGTGTTTGTGCCCAATTCTGTTGTGGAAGATTTTGGCTCGGTCGTTGTTGTTGAGGGTTTTGTATTAGTTTCTGAAGATGATTCTGTCGTTGATTCAGTTGATAATTCTGTCGTTGACTCTGTCGACGAATCGGTGGATGATTCTGTTGTTGATTCCGTTGTTGATTCTGTTGTCGATTCTGTTGTTGATTGCGTTGTTGATTCCGTAGTTGATTCCGTTGATGATTCCGTTGACGATTCCCTTGCTGATTCCGTTGTTGATTCTGTTGTTAATGCCGTTGTCGATTCTGTTGTTGATTCTGTAGTTGATTCTGTTGTTAATGCTGTGGAAGATGCCGTTGTAGGTTCAGTTGTATATATAGTAGAAGACTCCTTTGTTGGTTCAGATGTGCTTGAAGTCGTTTCTTTTTCATTTGGAGTCGTTGTCGATTGCGATGGCCTGGCAGTGGTTTTAATTGAACAGTTAGCCAGCGAAGCATCCACACACTTTCCTAGCTCCACACTAAACTCATCACCCTTATTGCAATCGAACGCCTCTGCAATGGGTCTATCGCACTTTATGTATTTTGAGCAATCGTTAGGATAGGAGACAAGATCACCATCGTCAACATCGTCACAGGGTCCTTTCTGAGGTGGTGGTCTCGTAACAGGTGTGCTTGTAGTCGGTTCAGTGGTGGTAGATGTGGTTGAAGTGTAATCCCATCGACAGGCATCTGATGGAACATCCGCACCACATTTTTCAGTTATTGGATCGTAGTACTCCCCACAATTACAAACATCCGTCATGTAAATGTAGTCATCCACACAACGTATGAACCATTGGCAGTTATCCGGATATGGGAAGGTTTTCCGACTGCTATTTGTGCACATGGTGGGTTCCGGAGGCGGTCTTGTATAGCCTGGTTCTACCGTCGTAGTGCTATGATCTCCCTCACAATCACTCTCCTCCCAACTATCGATGCACTTCTGTAATTTCGAACTGAAGAATGTGTCATCGGGACAGAAAAAGGCTATGGGAATTGGTAAAACGCACACAATATACTTGTTGCATTTGTTGGGATAAGCTACATTCTCGTTCTCATTCCGACCACCACAAATTCCATTGGTTGGCGATACAGTTGTGCTGGTTTTTTGAGTGGTTAAGGGTTCCAGAGTTGTGGTCTTGGGGGTGGTAATTTTTTCGGTTGTTGTGGCTTCTGTAGTTGTTGTTGTGGTGGTTGTGGCTTGTGAAGCCTTACAAGCATCGGGTGATACATCAGGTCCACACTGACCTGTCGTAGGATCGAAGTAGCTTGCATATATGCAAGGTGCCAGAGCCCATTTTCCGCCACCCAAGCACAGGTAATACTTGCTGCAATCTTCTGTATATGGAAAAGAAGCTCCCATCTCCTGACCCTCGCAAAGTTGATCGGGTCCTAAGGTGGTGGCTGCCGTGGTGGTTGTCGTTGTTGTAGTGGTTCTTTGAGTGGTTGTAGTGGACTCAGTTGTTGGAATCGGTGTGGTTGTGCGGTCTCCAAGGCACACAACATCTTTGGGATCATCGCATAGCAGCAAATCGGGATTAAAGAGTGTGGTTGGGGGACAATGGCCCATCTCCACTTGATGGTCTCTACAAATCAAGTACTCGGAACAATTACCTATATAGGCGAAAATAGTGCCGTCAGGTTGACCCTTACAGTCATTTGGATCCACGTCCGAGGGAAGTCCAGGTGTAGTGGTCGAAATAATTTCTGTGGTTGTAGTAGATCTTTCAGTTGCGGTCGATCCTTCGGAAGGAAGAGTTGTAGGCGTTGCAGTTATTGAAGGAGTGGTTGGCTTATCGGTACTTCGTGGAGTTGTAGGATATGGCAAGGGATCACACCACACCGAATCGGGAGTGTCGCATATGTGTAGCCAGGTATTGAAGAGTTTGTCTGGCTGGCAGTAATCCAAGTCGGTGCAACCATTCTTGCAAGCCAAGTACCCACTGCAATTGTAGGGATACTCATAGAAACCATTTCCTTTGGGCATACAGTAATCCTCTTCTACACCTTCGGGAGTTGGACCGCACATCCCATCCTCCTCAGTGGTTGAAGTGCGTGGTATTTCTGTTGTGGTTGTGGGTAGAGGCCTCTCATCGCAATCCACTTCATCGGGAGTATCGCAAATGCCTAAGATTATATTAAAGAGCTTGTCTTCGATACAATAATTAAGCACAGGGTAGCCATGAGTACAGTTTATGTAGGCCTGACAATTGTAGGGATACGAATGAAGTGAGCCATCCTTGTAGTTACGACAGAAATCTTCTGAAATTCCGGGTGGTGCAGGTGGTGGATCCCAACTGGAAGTTGGAGAATAACTTGAAGAAGTAGACGTAGTACTTTCTGTGGTCATCTTTTCAGTACTGGATGTTGGTTGTGGTGTTATTTTGGTAGTTCCATGAGTGGGCACTGGGGTCTCTATCGTATAGTAAATACACTCCACGGCTTGGGGATAATTGCATTGCTGAGTCTTGTTATCCCACCAGAGATATGCTGGACACAACTTCACCGTTGGATAAAGACAATCGCACACCAGAAAGAGGCTACAATTGTCCGGATAGGGAACCAAGGCCCTAAAACTCTTGCCTTCGCACATCACCTGGTTTTCGTATCGCTGCTCATTGTTACAGGTTTCATGAGGGGGTTCGATCTTGGGCAGGGCTAAAACATTTAGCTGCCAGCTCCAGAGCACGGCTATAACCACCAGAAACCCTGGCAAGACGTTGGAAACCGTTACTGAAATAAGAAAGCACTCCAAAGATTAGAAATAAAAACTCAACTTCAAGATAATTCTTTAAAAAAAGTTAAACGCCACTTTAACTGCTTGAGAAAGTTGGATATACTTATAAAAGAAAAGTTAGGCATAGTTGTTATTGAATAATATAATAGAACTACTATTATTATTTTTATCGTAAAGTACACTTTTTAGAAACATTTTTATATTTTTGGTAAAGGTGTATTTAAGATTTCTTTAAATTATTTTTAAGCACATCTAAGAAGCTCCTTTTTTAACACAATATGTTCTTTTTAAGGAATTCTTAGGTTTACCTTCCATAACAGTTTTCTTCTTCACTTTGTATTGTATTATTTAAAAGAAGTCTTTCCCCTTCCACAGTTAATTCTACACTGACTTCATAACTGGGCCAACTGTCTTGTGTATAGCTAGAAGTCTCTTCTGATATGATGTCCCTGCCTTTATTAGATTAGATTTAATAAGAAATTCTTTGAAATTCATAGGAAATCGTTTTTGTTGGTCTATTATTATAAATCATTGCATGTGGTTAATATGTGAATTTTTGTTATCTTTATCTACTGAATTACTTAGTTAAAGTACCATATCAACACGAGCAGGTCGAGGCATTGATGAATTGATTTCCGTAATATTCTATACTTTTGATAAACCAATTACGTATGGAAGATAAGAATGACGGCATGGATTGTTTGTTTATAAAGGTTAATCTTTAAGAAATATTGCAGGAAGGTTTTTGGGGGTTTTCTTTGCGTACGCGTATGGTATTTGAGTATTTCCAGACACGCCTCTTTCCGAAAATGATTGTCATTTTATATTCCTTCATTCGAAAGGTAAATCATTTTATTCTGTTCGCATGTGTTTTGTGTGAGCCCTTTGTGACTCTTATTGCTGTTGTTATAACACTTATTGCTCTTGCTCGAGTTCCTGCTTTTGTTGGGACTTTAATGGGGCAACGTGAGCTTTCCGACACCGAAGTTCGTGTCGCAATTTATGATCAGCACTCGACGCGTAAATTACACAAATAAAAATGCGTATATAAACATAAATGAAGCTAGAAGTTGAATGCGCAGAAAGCCATTAAAATTAAGCGACAAAACATGAGTAGCAAATAAAGAGGGTGCATAAAAAATATATAGAAAAATATATATATTTTTTGATTTTCAAATCCTGAAAAAAATTCTAGTTCTATATTAAAGAATGAACACTGCAGTTGCTCGGGGACTTTCAATTTGTGCGGAAAATTACTTAAAAGCATAAAAATCTATTTGCCTGAAAGATATTTTTATGCATCTTTTTTGCACCCTTCCCGGGCGTCTTTGGGTTGAAAAACGCTTACAAACTTGGGAAATATAAAGTGCAGCCTGAAAGACAAAGCCATTTAAAATAAATATAAAGTTGCATGCAGAAATAATGCAGGCTTTTAAAGAGATTTTAAAATAGTACGTTTTCTAAATTTGGAATAGAATTTTAGATGATTAAAATTATAAATATTTCAATTCGCAGATTTAAAAGTAATCGAAAAATCTAACAAATATATATTTTGTAAATTAAATACCTAAATTATTTTTTCGCATTATCTCAACCCCTTTTCATTTAAGTAAATGTAGCCAAAACAATTCCTGAGGTTCAGATACCCATAGTCAAATGCTCCCTCCTTTTCGGCCAAACTTGGTCTTGGACAATTTTTCAGCTTGATCTGTTGGCTGCTGTCAAGCGTTTGATCTGCAACAGATTGAACTATCAATTATGCCCCAGCATCCGACGTGACCAGCAACTGACATGTGCCACTTGCCGCATGCCGCATCCCCTTCCAAAGTCCAAAATCCAGGAAATAAGGAGCAGGGACCATCAGGTGGCAAAGTTGAAACGGACGTTTAGTTACAGCTGAGCACCTGGTCGCCTTTCTGCCCGCCTGGCTGCCCCTCAAAGGAAATGGTGGGGAAAAGCGATGGAAAAATCAAGGGGAAAACGTGTCCGCCATGCAAGAAAACCCAGGCTTTCCCCTTTCCAGCGCTGCTCTCCTTGTTTGTGTTGCATGAAATTGACCCGGTGCGTGTGTCGCCAGCGACTGGAAAGGATTCTCGACAGGCTGATGGGGGATTGTACTGTGCATATGTGCCGCAATGCATCCTGGGGGCCTTGATTCATCGCCGAGTCTGGCGGCACTCGTGTGTTTTTCCAGCGACCAGAGATTTCAAGTGAGCCTCTGTAAAAAAACGATTTTTGATAGAATTTTTAAAAAAAACTTTAATTTTTCTTTAATTTTTATCATGTTGCTCAAAAAAAAATATTGCATTTATTTATCAATCGAATATGCTTTTTCTGAGAGATAAAACATCTTTAATTAGCAGTTTTGCATTTTTGGGTACCATTTGCTCTTTTTTTAATAATGAATAATATATAATATTATCTTAACTAATAATTATTTTAATAATAAAAAATATATCAACTCAACAGATTATATTCCCAGCTAAATTGTATTACTTTAGTAACTTTAGCTCAGCTTAAGTTTTAATGCAAAATTAAGAGCGCTTACAAAATCTTTGCTTAAACTTCCAAAGAAATCCTGACAAATGAATTGTTTAATTACCACTGAGTTTGAAATCAAGTAAAAGAAATTCCACAAAATTGCAATCATTCTGTGATCATTGACTGCCAACTAAGGGCAAACCAAACTAGCAACCAAAGTCACTGAGCAAGCTAAAAAACAAACAAAAACCGAAATTACAAAGTGAACATAATATGTGTATCCTTTTTTTACCAATGCCAAAGGTCCTTTGGCTTTGTTTACGGTTTTTGCCTTTATCCTTTTTTTTTTTGCTGTTAATTAAAATCCAATGATTCCTAGAACCTGCTTTGGTCTTCTTTTAATTTCTCTTACGTTTGTTTTGCTGAATTTACATTTTTTTTTGCAGGTCTTCCCAAAAGTCTTTTAAAAGTTTATTCGTTTTTCATTTCTTTTTGATTCTTGTAAGCTCTGAGTTTTTAATTGCATACATTTTTGCAACGCTTGTTGATAAGAATTTTCTCGTTTACCTTTGTAGGTGTAGTTGTTGTTATAGGCAACTACAATCAGCAAAATTAAAAATATTTTTTTCCCTACCAGATTGCGGAATTTTCATCCCAGTGCTGGCTGTAAATAAACGTTGAGATTTATTTTTATTATAAAACAAAAATATGTACATGGTTGAAATGGAATGCAGATTGAGATAGAAAAAGAGGAGTAGAACAATGTAAAGAAATGTAGTTGAGCTTCATGACCTAAAAGTTTAATCGAAATATAAAAATGAATCGAGTAAGAGCTGTGAGGTCTATAGAAAAGTAACAAATTTTTTGATTCCCTTAATATGCAGACATAAACGGGATAAAAAAGGGAAAATTTAAATATTTAATCTGGTTAAAAGTGCTTTAACAACTTTGAATAATAAGGGTAAACATGAATTTCAAGTCAAATCAAATTCATTGTCATTAGTTAATTACTATTTTCTAAAAGATTATAAAACTTCCCATCAATATGGTGCATTTTTAGAGACTCATTCTCAGTTTTAAAAGGCATAAATCTCACTCCAAGTTTCTGCTTATTTCTCTGAATTTCTCTTTTCCTTGGAGAGATTCTCTCGGCTTTCGAAATTAAAGTTAGCGCCTGCGTTTCTATTCAATGGGAGAATTTAAACTTCGGCTTTTTGAACGACAGAAACGAAGCAAACTCTATTCTATTCCGCCAAATAAAGAATCAGTTGCTTTTAAGCTGAGGACGAAAGCAAAAGGCTCTAGAGTTTACCTCTACAGAACTTTCTTTTCATTTTTCCGTACTCCAAGACACGCAGATTGAACTTTGAAAAGGGGTCAGTTTAGAAAGTCCCACAAATGCAGCCGCAATTAATATTATCTAGGGAGATATGAGCCACGTTCTCCTTTCACTGCAGGTGAAAGGAAAAATTTACATATTTATAGGTGTGAAAATCCCAGACAAAAGAAAATTGCTGCATTTCGTGTGAAAATGCAATTAAAAATGCTTTCTCCAACGGAGACCAAACATATTAATTGCCCGACAAGGCGAACCCGAATTGCCCCTACTAGGGCAATTTTTTAATTGAGCAAGTACATGAAAAGCAAACAAAAGGCATACAAAGGATGCACTTCCCACTTGGCCAGGAGGAAGATTAGCTGAATGCAAGAGGAGGTTGTGGAACATGCAAATGCCAGCCATGATTTATGCCGGAGTAGGGGTGAAAGTCAGTGCTTAGAGCCTGCACAGCGAAAAATAGTTTTAAATAAAATAAATTAATAAATTAAAATAAAATATGTTTATCCTTAATGATATGAGACTCCAGTGTTAAGACAATAAATCAAATTTAGATGCTGTATGGTACAATATTACAAGAGTTTTGATATCTCTATAAAATTTCATTTTAGGTGCCTAAAAGTATGCAACAAATAAAGAATAGTAGCCTTTTTAAGTTATTCTGGGCCTCAAATATATTGCTGCATACTTTTAGACACCAAAAAAGACATTTAAGTGGGATTTCAACCCGCCAGTGAATTGTGTGCCCTCCCCTTCCTAGAAAAAAAAAAAAATGAAATATCAAAATGTTACTATTAGAAATGTTTGGAAAATACAACGCTTACATAATGATCTTGGAATTTACTTTTTTGTCTAACTTTTTAATGATTCAAGGTACGAGTCTGCTGTCCTTTTATATATAATTTAATATTTTCTCACCGTGTGCTGCCTGGCAGGCAGTTATGCACTCGAGGCATTTGTTGCATGCTGACAGAATGGGAAAGCCGGGGAAAGTGGCCGGGATACACGGTGTCGGATGTGCATTCCCTGGCCCGGGAGCACAGTGTGCTGATGACTGGTGTTAGCTCGTAAGCAAAGCGAAACAAAACCCAACCCAAAAGTATCCTGCCCCAGGAAGCTCCACATGCTCAACATGCTCTACAAGGAGCTGGTACCGCTTTCGAGCTTCAATCACACTTC